GAGGGGCGGATGTGTGGGAAGGAAGAGGGGGCGTATGTGTGCTGGGAAAGGGCGAGAAGGGTAGCATGTGGTGGGGAAGGGAGAGGGTAGAGAGAAAGAGAAGAGAGATGAGAGAGAGAGTGAGAGAGAGAAAGCGAGAGGAAGAGGAAGAGTGTGTGGGAGGGAGAGGGGTTGGAAAGCGCGAAAGAGAAGGGAAGTAGAAAGAATGAAATAAGGTAGAGACAGCCACAGAGCGGAGAGAGAGAGAAGAGCGGGTGTGTAGCACGAGAGAAAAGACAAATGGAAAGAACGAGATAGGTAGATCCAGACAGAGACAGAGAGAGAGAAGAGTTCAGACGAGCAGAGAAAAGAGAGAGAGAGAGAGAAAGAAGAGGAAAGGCCGAAATCGAAGCGGAGGTGAAAGAGATAGTGGGAAGATGAAGAGTCGCGAGCAGAGGAGGCGGGAGAGAAGGGATAGAGTGAGAGAGAACGCGCGCGCTAAGCAGGGTGAAGAGAAGGTGGAATGAGAGAGAGGAATCAGAGCGAGAGAGAGAGAGAGCGAAGTACACTCGTAGCACGACGGCGGCCAGTTGCTTGCGCCACGACAGACTGGTAAGTATTGCAAGTCTGGGATTGTAGGGAGGTGTGTGGTGGGTGTTGCGTACGTGTTTGCATGTAGTGCGCACGTGCCGTGTGTTGCACGTGTCGCATGCCGTGCGTCGTGTGCGAACCTGCATGCGCGGGTGTCATTTATATAACTAGAGATTATATATCGGAGATAACGTATACTTGTTATAATTAATTACCAGGCAACAATCTATTAACCGCTGACAGCAACCTTACACCCACACCTCACACCGAGAGAACAAAAAACACCCTGGCCCCACGCTCACGCTAATAAGAGAGAAAAGATTTATAATTATTTGTTTTAAATGGATGCGGGAGATGAAAAATTTTCCGGGAATTGTAGAGAGACGTATGATAATTTAGAGGTGCGTTGATGTTTGCGGAAGAGTTTGAAAGTGACGCCAGCTTCTTGGCGTTCTCTATTTACTTTTTAATACGTTATCGCCGTGTTGCGTCCTCTGCTCGCAATCAGTGTTGCGGCTGTTCATATTCTCCCTCTTCTTATCTCGCGCGCTGCGCTCTATGTTCTCTCTTTCTTCTTTCTCTGCTCTCTCTTCTCTCTCTCCTCTTCTCTCTCTCTCTCTCTCTCTGTCTCTCACTCGCTCGCTCGCTCGCTCACTTTCTCTCTCCATCTCTCTCTTTTTCTTTCTTTTCTCTCCCTGACTATCTATTTAGCTATCATGCTAGTCTATCTATCTATCTATCTATCTATCTATCATCTATTTCTATCTATCTATCTTATCTATCTATCTATCTATCGTATTATTCATCGTATCTTATCTATATTAGTCTATCTATCTTATCTATCTATTTATCTATCTATCTATCTATCTAGCGCTTATCTTTCACCTATCTATATCTATTCGATCTATCGCATTCTATCTATCTATCTATCTATCTATAGTATATATATATATACATATATATGTGTGTATATATATCCTCGCTCTTTCATGTAAAACACAATTAGCGGATCTGTGACGTCACGCTCGCGCGAAGCCCGTTTGAAGTTTTACACATCCCGCGGGGCGGCGCCACGGTTCCTCTCGATTTCAAACGCGTCCGCACTGCCACAAATGAGTCCTCTACTAACTCTCTCATTCTCATTCTCCTTTTTCCGCCCATCTTTCCCTAAAGAACCGCGCAGGAAAATGAGGAACTTTTCGCGATATGATCAAAACTCCCTACAAGCTAACGAAGTGCGAAAGATTTTTTATTGGCTAGGTAAAAAAAGGTGCTTTGGACACTATACTGACTCTGGTACGTCGATCGCGCAGTACGTCGATAATTGCTTTGCCGTCGTGTGGGACTGCGACCTTGCTTCATGACTGTGTGCAGAGCCTTAGCGTACAGGAACACCGCGTCGTACAGGTACGAGGCGAATACGGTGATCTGCGAACGGAAGGATAAAATAAAAACACGCGGATCTACTTCAAGTGAATAGAATCGGCGCGAGAAAACAATAGCATGAAATGTGTGGCCATGTGTGGTGTGCCTGCGTGTGTGTGTGTGTGTGTGTCGTTGTGTGTGCGTGTGCGTGTGCGTGTGTCGTGTGCCGGATCGTCGATGTGTGTGCGTGTGTCCGTTGCGTCGTGCCGTGCGGTGCGTTGGTGCGTGGCGTGCGTCGTGCGGTTGTGTGCCGTGCGTGCTGCGCGTGTGCCGTGTGTGTGTATGTATGTGCGTGTGTGTGTAGTGTGTGTGTGCGTGGCGTTGCGTGTGCGTGTGCGTGTTGTTGTGTGTATGTATTCTTTGTGTGTCGTATATGTGTGAGTGCGGTATTGTGAGTGTGCGCGCCCTTGTGTGTTTCCTGATCTGTCGTGCGGTGTGTGGTATGGGTGTTGTTGTATTGCGAGACGTGCGTTCGCGCCTGCGATGGTGAGCGGCCGGTCTATTTATCAACAGACGCGATGTCTCGCCGATGATGTCAGTACGGCCAACTAAATGGAAAAAATAGAACCCAGCGCGTGCGCCTTTTTTTCTTTCTTCTCCGGCTCTTAGATGTAGAAAAAGCTTTCGGATTGGCCAGCGAATAAAATTTGCGTAAATAAGCGGGATGAGTTGTCGGTGCAGTGTTTTCTATATAGAGGAAATATTCGCGACGAGGCAGACGGAACAACACGTCCGTGTCGCTTACTAATAGCCCGTGGCCTCGCATCTCTGCGCACGCCCAGCGCGGTGCATTGTGTAGTTTCCAGACCGTATCTACGATTTCTTGGGGAGTGAATGTGAGATGTTTTTCAACTGACATATTTCGCGCTTGCTGTAAGCTTCCGTATCTGCCAACGAGGCTATACTAATTACCTGCAAAGACACATATTCAAGCTAGCTCGTGCTCGTTGTGTTGTGTAGTGTATGAGCGTGTGTGTGTAGTGTATGAGCGTGTGTGTGTGTGTGTGTGAGTGTGTCGCGGGCGCGTTCCGAGCGCGTGCGATGCTGCGTGTGGTGCCTGGTGTTGCGTGTGCGCGTGCCGCGTGCGCGTGTCGTGTGCGTGGTGTCCCCACACATCCGCCCCTCTCCCTTCCCCACACATCCGCCCCTCTGCCGTACGCCTGACGCACCCCGACCCATTCTGACGTCAGCTCGTTGCTTCGCCGGCAGGTGTGCAGGGTTACCTGACCTACATGGACGAGAACGGAGATGCCGAGGGCAACTATACGGTGCTGTCGCGACAACCGCTCGCCTCCAGCTACGTTAACTACTCCATGCTGCCCGTCGGCCGGTTCTTCATCGACGAAGACGGTGGCTTGCCGGTAGGCGTGCGCAGCCTGTTCTGCTTGCATCTATGACAAAATACGACATACGCATATACGCTTTCCTATGAGACTATTTGTCGTATAGGAAGATTCTTCCTATGACAAATATTGTTGTATGTGTTGTGCGCATCATAGGAGTTTAGGAGCGCTATTATGAACGCAAGCTGTAAATTTCAGCTGTAAAGCGGAACGAAGTTGACTCGCCAATATTTAATTTTGTCATGGGAAGAATTTTCCTATGACAAATAGTGTTAAAGGAGAGCGTATATGCATACGTCGTATTTGTCATAGATGCAATCAGAACATGTTGCAGTGCGACCCTCACGACGCGCAGGGGTTTATATGCTAATATTAGCATACATGATAGTATTAGCATACATGATAGTATTAGTACTGTTAGTATTAGCATACATGATAGTATTAGTACTGTTAGTATTAGCATACATGATAGTATTAGTACTGCTAGTATTAGCATACATGATAGTATTAGTACTTCTAGTATTAGCA